GAACAATAGGGTTAAAAACAACAGGGATGAGATATTTTTAGGCAAAAATAAGTTGTGAAGATTGGCGGAATGTAGGCGTCGAAAAATAAAAAAGGAAAGTGAATAACAGAAAAGATAAACAGATTATATGTGGAAAAGACTAAGAAATATGTAAGTATGTGTGAATGTGTGAAAAGAAAAAGACAAAAAGTAGAGAGAGAGAAAGAGAGAGAGAGAGAGAGAGAGAGAGAGAGAGAGAGAAAGAGAGAGAGAGAAATTATATTAAAGACGTTAGTAGAATAAGACGGTCAAGAAAAACTTATAAATATGATAAATATGATAAATATAGTAAAGTGTGTTGGGGAAAATAAATAATTAAAAACAAAATAGAATATAAAGTACTAAAAAAAAATATATGTTTCTTTTTCATGTGGCGTACGTATAGATGTGCAAAATGACAATGAAATGATAAAATAGCGAAAGACAAGACAGAATATGAAATATAGGACTATAAATATAATTTTTTTAAATAGTTTCTAAATATTGATGTTTAAATTTGTTTATAATTAAACATAATTAACTTTTTTTCAGGACATGATCAGCAGCACAGATATATTGATAGGACGCAGACGATTTTACAATTTGTAATCATAATAATTATGGAGACTGGATAAAAATACTTTCAAAAATACAACAAATATAATGGAGTTTTCTTTTGATTACACTGTTAAAATGTTTCAGTAATCCATAGAAACGTTAATAACATCCATAACTTTTTCAATTGTAGTTTTAATCATATTTTTGCGATCTCAAATCAGAAATAATATCGTTCAACTTTCGTTCATATGTATATTGTACCAAAGAGATTTATAAGCCGCATTGAGGATATGTTGTGATTCTAAAGGTCAATGAAAATAGCTTTTCTAATTATTTACTGTTACGAACCCAATTTACACGTTACGTAAAACATGACAAAAGAATTAAAGCTGTCAAGCTATGTTATAACAAAAGCCAATCGTCGTTAATTCCTACGTAACTACAGTTAAATTGGTTTAAATATAAAAATTTAAATATTATATATGCTCCATTATTAAAATTAAAGTTTACAGGACAAATATTAATTAAATGTCACTTGTTGCCAAGCTGAAACATTACATATTCAACTATATATAGACAACTTTAAAATAGATTATAAAATCGTTCAGTTAATATTATACCTTTGTAGTAATTCTTCGATCAAGCAAAAACTAAACGTCTCGAAATTCATGATGATATAAAACAGTACCCTCTTCATCAATATTATGGAAACGTTTATTGACTGCAACATTATTTGCATTAATATTCTGTACATTCTTTTCATATTTTTATCCTTTAAACTATGCGATTATCATTATTCTAAAATCGAAATTCTTCTCTTTTTAATATTATTATAGAGAATCGTATTAGAGAATATTATTATTTAACGTAATGTTGTGAAACACATCTCTTATATAAAATTCAATTGTATATCTTTTTAAT